TGTAGAAATTCAGGAGGCCTAGAAGGCCTGAAGTTCGGCCTTAGACTTTGGCCTGGGTGCTTCTAAAATAGCAGTTAGTTTGGATTCAGCAGGATGAATCCCAGCAGCATCAATTTTGAATCCCAGAAATTCAGTAGAAGGCACCCCAATCTTGCATTTGTCTTTTCTGAGCTTAAGGCCTGATTTCCTGAATCTTAACAGGACAGCCCTAAGCCTTTCAGCTAGAATGTGTGTGGAGTCTCCTGCAATCAAGACATCGTCAAAGTAGGGGCAGACCCCTGGTATACCTCGTAGTGTGTTTTCCATTACGCTTTGGAAAATCCCAGGAGCGACATTCACTCCAAACTGCAGCCTTTTTACCTTAAAGGCTCCCCTGTGGGTCACAATAGTCTGAGCTATGGCAGCATCATTATCAACAGGCAGCTGTTGATATGCTTGAGCTAGGTCAAGCTTTGCAAAAACACGCCCCCCCTTGAGAGAGGCCAGGATGTGACTGACCACAGGAACAGGATAGGCATGTTGCTGCAATGCCTTATTGAGTGTGCATTTGTAATCAGCACAAATGCGAATGTCCCCATTTGCCTTTAGAGGCGTGACAATGGGGGTCTCCCATGGGCTGGAATCAACAGGTTCTAGGATTCCTTGTTGGATTAGTTTGTCTAATTCAGTGTCAATCTTACTTTTTAAAGCAAAAGGGACCCTTCTTGCTTTAATCCTAATGGGAGTGACAGTGGGGTCTAGCTTTAAGGACACAGGTGGTCCTTTGAATGTGCCCAGCTGGGGGCTGAAAACATCTGCAAATTCCTTGCAGACTTCCTGTAGGTCGAGTGTTTGTAAGCTGTTGAGTCCTGTGACGTGTATCCCCAGGGCCTCAAACCAATCGAGTCCTATGAGACTCGTTCTTTCACCCCCTACTACTAACAAGTCTAGTGGACCTTCAAAACTCTTGTATTGCACGTTAAGGGTGGCCTCCCCCTTAACACACACTCTTGAGTTCTGAAAATCAGTTAATACAATATCAGAAGGCCTTAACTTGGCCTTAGTCCCACTACTGGAACAAATCTTCCTAAATGTATGCAATGAAATGATGGAAAGGGCAGACCCTGTGTCTAGTTCCATAGATAATGGAACCCCTTGTAGCTTCACGTTGAGTGACAGCTTTTTCTTCATGGGCTTGTGTGTGCCTGTCCTACAAATGTTTCTACGCGAAGCGCAAAAACCTACCCTATTCTGGCTGGGGACTCTGGTACCCTTCAGGCGTTCTTCTTGAGGTTGTGCCTTTCGTCGGCCCAGACACACAGCTGCAATGTGCCCTTGTTTGCCGCATGCCCGGCAGGTAGCGGAGCGGAACTTGCAGTCGGTTCTCCTGTGGCGACCTCCACAGCCGATGCACTTGAGCGGAGCTGAAGAGCTTTCCTTCTGATTTTCTCCCTTCGCGGGGTGTAGACGGTCGACTTCTTCGTCCGGATCCTCCTCGGAGTTTCGTCGGACGTCTTCTTGGTGCACGGACGCACCCTCTGCACTGCTTCTGATCGGCCGCATGTTCTTGACGGCGCCGCCTGCTGCTTCTTCCGCGGTGGCTTCCCTTAAAGCGTCTTGGAAGGATAATTCTTCCTTAGCGAAAAGTCTCTGTTGTAGCTCTCGATGCCTCAACCCGCACACGAATCGGTCCCTCAGTCGTTCCTCGAGGTCCTTGAACTCGCAGGGCTTGGCGGCCTTCCGTAACGCGGCGATGTACTCCTTGGCTGACTCCCCGGACCGTTGATCCCTCTGCTCGAAGGTGTGGCGCCATGAGATAACGGACACCTTGGGGTGGAAGTGGTCCTTCAGCAGCTTCTTCAGGTCTGCGTAGCTTACAGACTCTACTGGAACAGGTGCTGCAAGGTTTTCTGCGATTTCGAAGGCGTCTTGGCCGCAAGCGCAAAGCAGGGTGGCAGCCTTCAAGCTATCTTCCCTCACTTGGTTTGCCTTGAAGTAGTTCTCCATTCTGGATACGTAGGACTCCCACCGCTCTGGATGTGAGACGTCGAATTCCGCAAGCCTTCCGATTTTCGCCATCTTCGGATCTTCAGGAGACGGGTCTATCAGCCAGCCTACCCCCGAATGCGCACTGGATTGGCGGGCAGCTGCTGAGTCAACACCGTTCCTCTTCCGCCGCTCAGGACTCCTTGGGTAAGCTTACACTTTTTCCTTTCCAGGTAGTGCAAGGCATCCCACCTTCGTCGCCAGTGTTGCGTCCTTGGCGGGAAAACAGACACGAGAAGCAGCTGGAGTTCTCAGGTTCTTTTATTCAGCGTTCAGCTTACAGGAAGATGGCTTCAGCCAGCCCAAACGCCTCACAGCCTCTTATATAGGCAACTCCCGGGTAAATGGGTTACTTTTCCCGCGCCAGCACCCGCGCATGCGCACGGCGCTGGCGACAGCCTGTCTGGTCCCGGGCAGCTTTGCACCTGCCCGGGACTGCCTGCAAACGCCCGAGCCGTTTGCAAGGCTCGGGACATAACACAAATGACACATTTCCAGAGAAAAACTGCAATTGCCCAGAGGAAGGGGGATAGGCAAGACCCTGATATTTCAATCTGGAAATAAAACGAAGGTCAGCCTGAGGTCTAGTTAATCAAGTGCAAGCCGAGAGAATGCTCTATTATCAGGTTCCTGATGCTTAATTAAAACTGGAGCTTTGGTGAAATTAGCTGCACCCCGTCTTATTTATTCAAGAAATATTTACTCATGTTTTTACTAAACTTGGGGGGGGACTGTTTGACGGACTGACAATTGAGAGTTGACTCCCTGCACAAGGATTCTCTTGACTTCTGGGAGGGGGGCACTTATGCTGGTACCCCGGGCATGGGTAATCTTAACCCAGTCCAGATCTGGATTTGGATAACTTTCACAGTGTGAATTAATTCTTCAACGTGAAACAGTGTACTTTCATTTAGAATTCTTTATTGGCCAAGTGTGATTGGACACACACTGTCTCCAGTGCAGAAGTTCAGGGTATATAGAAACAACAAGTGATAATCATAATCATAAAATACAATCATCATGAATCATAAATACAATACACAGTGATAGTCATAAGGTACTAAAGCAATAACATAAATCATAATAGGATACTAAATAAAGGCAATCAGCATAAATCATGAAATACAGCAACTGTCAACGCTCCTAACATCGGATGTTTTTGCATGGACAACAGATGGAAATGTAGCCATCTTTTCCCTTTCGCTTTTAGAGTTAGATGATGCTGGGAGGGGGGATGTGAATGGGAGTCCAGCTAACAACACTAAACCTAGCGTGAGAATCAAGGTTATTGAGCCCAGAGCTGATAAAGAATTGGCAGGCTGGAGAGCTGGATAGGAAGCCTGCACTTCAAGCTAATTGGGGAATGTGATTTATGACTGTCAATTGGAGGAGGGAATTGTGCTTTGATATTATGTGCCCAGGGGAGGGGAATTCAGTTTTTGGCTTTGATTATGTAGTGCCGATATTATGCTATTCGAATAAAAGATCCTTTAAGGTAAACAATGCCTCGAAGTTCTTTTGAAGAGTTTCATCTATTGGAACCATAACAGCAATGTTATAGTCCTAAGAATCTAAAGAAATAGATTAGGTTATAGGTAATAGGACAGCTGAAAAGGATAATAAGTAATACAGCTCTACAAGGTGGTTTGACATCCCAGGGCATGGACCGTATAGTGGGAATTAGTTGCTTAACAGAGTGATAGCATGGGGGGGGGGACTGTCTTTGTGTCTGGTTATTTTGGCGTGCAATGCCCTATAGTGGCTGTAATGTATTGGCCACAACTGTTTTAAATCACTTGCTTAATGTCTGACCTACATTGCTGTATTGTTTAACAGTTGCTGTTACTGAAAGCCAGATAATGAGGTTTGGGGTGGGAAACTGTTACTTTAAACTTATTAATTGCCACCTAGAGGCTAACTGTATAAATAGCTGTGCAGCAGCCTTTAGGGGTGGTTCTGTTCTGAGTTAATAAACTTGTTGTTGTTTCAACACTCTGCCTCATTCAATGCCTAAAGAACCGAAAATATAACAGTGGCGTCCTGAGGGGAGGAGTTGAAGCAGTTTATGTCCAGGATGTGAGGGATCTGTAGATATTTTCTCAGCCCTCTTTCTGGCTCCTGTATTGTACAGGTCCTCAATGGAAGGCAGGCTAGTTGCAATTATTTTTATACATCTAGTATCCAGCTGACCTTGATTAATCTTGAAAAAAGCTAAGCCGATTGAGGGTCACCTGGGAAGATGGCGTTCTCTAAGCACGTCTGTAATATTGCCAAGAAAATTAGAATAGAATAACAGAGTTGGAAGGGACCTTGGATGTCTTCTAGTCCAACCTTCTGCTCAGGCAGGAAATTGTATACCATTTCAGACAAATGGTTGTCCAATCTCTTCTTGAAAACTTCCAGTGATGGAGCATTCACAACTTCTGGAGGCAGTTGTTCCACTGATTAATTGTCAGAAAGTTTCTCCTTAGTTCTAGGTTGCTTCTCTCTTTGGTTAGTTTCCATCCATTGCTTCTTGTCCTGCCTTCAGGGGCTTTGGAGAATAGCTTGATTCCCTCTTCTTTGGGGCAGCCCCTGAGATATTGGAACACGGCTATCATGTCACCCCTATTTGGACAGACCCATTATATGGACAGGCCCATGAAGTCACTCGAGTTGAATCTGAGTCAAAAGTCATCTCAAAGGAAATGTCTGTTTATTGTATCAAGGGAGACTGGCACATGGCCTTCAAAGTCTTGAATTCCTGAAGGTTGTCATGATGTAAAACACTTCCCATCATAAGATTAGGGCTAAACGATCTCATAGGAAGTGGAACAATGTCTTCTTTTCTTGAGAGTTGTTTTAATAATTTTTTTTATTTTTTATTTTTCCAAACTCTCCCCCATACATATACCGTGATATTTATCAGATGTTAACATGCATTCTTTTTACATTCATATATAGGATACTTTTGATAAAATGAAATAAATACATACACATGACTTTTGGTGTTGCTCGCCCATTTCCCCTTTCACTGTATCCACACTCCTTCTTCTCTACCTTCTTTCTCCCTTTCTTCTCTTCCCTACTTCCCTCTTCTTCCTCTCCTCTTCTCTTTCCTTCATCACTCTCCTCCCCTTTCTCCCCACTTCTCCTCTTCTCCTCCAACCTTCCTACTTCCTTCTCCCCTCCTTTACTCTTTTCTCTCTCCTCTTCTTGAGAGTTGTTTTGCTCCTTCTGCAAACAGCTTTATTTTTACCTCTTTCACAGGAAATAAAGTAATTTAGTTAAAAAAATGTTTGAGGGGTAGCCTGGAGAGGATATTTTTCATTCCGGGAGATGGGCAGGTGGTCAATCTTCTTCCTTTTTTAGTTCTATATCCTCTTTTCCTTAACTATATATATATTAAAAAAAGGACTGTAAATTCAGCTGCTCAAAAGTGGGACTTTCCTGGATCTTTTTATTTTTTAATTTTAATTTTTCCTTTTTTCACTATACAACAAAAATAAAACTGAAAAATACATTTTTTCCCCTTAACAAAACTGTGTTATACATCTCCTATATATTATTTACAATTTATTTACATCAGTAATCATGTCTTTTTCTTTCTTTGTTCTAGCCAATCATAACATTTGTTCCATATTTCATAAAATTGTGTTGCCTCCTTGTCTTTTAATTCTAGCGTAAGTTTATTCATTTCCGCGCATTCAAGAATTTTGTATATAATCATCATTTGTAGGTATGTTTTCACCCTTCCAATACTGGGCATATACTATGCGGGCTGCTGTCAATATATGTATAATGATGTATTGGAGTTGTTTTTCCATCTTTAAATTTATTATACCCAAAAGAAATAGTTCCGGTTTGAATTCAATTTGCACCTTAGTTATCTCCTGTATCCAGTTCCCTATCCGTTCCCAATAGCTCTTTGCTTTGGGGCACAGCCACCACATGTGATAGAATGTTCCTTCCTTATTTTTACATTTCCAACATTCCGGATTCATATTTTTGTACATTTTGGCCAATCTCACCGGTGTTAAATGCCAATACATTTTGTATTGATTTTTCCTATATGCAGCTGACAGTGTCAGTTTGCAATTTATGTTCCATAATCTTTCCCATTCTTCCAGTTTTATATTTCGGCCCACATTTTATGCCCATGCTATCATTGGCCCTTTCACTATTTCTTCCTCCAGATCTACCTCTAATAAATATTTATAGGTTTTTGTTAAAATTTTTCCTTCCTTACCTGTTAAAATTTTATCCAATTGATGTGGGGGTCTGGCTTATTCCGTGCTCTTCCATATCCTTACTATGTTTAGATTTAATCTATAAGTATGGCCACCAATCTATGATTATTCCTGGATCTTACAGAGGCAAGAAGAACTCTGCGAATGAGTCAAAGGAGCACAAAAACATTGGTCAGAGTGTGTAACAATACATGTGATCATCTGATCACCACAAGGAGAAGAAATGGTAAGAAAAAAGAAAAAGCTGAAGGCATTGCAAATATGCATGCAGATATAGCTTTTTTAAAGGTTAATTTGGAGGGAAAGCAAAAGGACGAAGGCAGATACTTTTCAAATTGCAGTAATGATGAGATGGGATGGGGGTGGTTGGGGGAGGAGCATGCAGAAAGCTGCAGCTTTCCAGTTCAGTCTTGTGGATTTTTATTTTTTCCAGACCCCACTTAATGCTCAGTAAGTTTTATGCATGCCCTTTTCTTTCATTCTTTCCTTCATTCGGGATCCCATTTAATTTTTAATTTCATAACGGCCCCCAGTTCTATTTTTCAAACAAAGACAACGTATCAGACCATGGGATTTTATAGATGGCTGGATTTAATAACATATGCTTAATTTAAGAGAAAATTTTTACAAAATTTTTTATCGATGGCATCTGGATCCTAAAAAGTTGTCTTGTATGTATCCTAATTTACAGCCCAAATGTTGGAGATGTGATAGTTTGAAGGCTACTTATTTTCATATCTGGTGGACTTGTAAAAATATAAAAGCTTTTTGGATTAAGATTTGGTGGAACATTCAAAAGATTTTTAAGAGAAAGATAAAGTTTACTCCACAATTATTTTTACCAGGTGTTATTACAGATTGTGATACTAAAGAAGCTAATTGGATGTTGAATTTGATAACAGCAACAAGGTTATTGTTAGGGCAATATTGGAAGAAGGATTGCTTGCCTACTATAGAAGAATGGACGCTTAAAGTGTCAAACTTAGCAGAAATGGCTAAGATTTCTGCTTATTTGAAGGATCATTCACAAGAAAGATACATTTCGGTTTGGAGAAAATGGATAGATTATATTCAGAATAAATATGGGACTAAAAAGTTCCACTTAGTTTATGAGTAAATCTTAGAGTATTATTAATAGTTTATTATAATGGAATATTATTATTAGTATTAGTATTGTTTAACGATTTAGATATTGTATTGTTTAATAATTAGTTTAATAATTAGGATATTATGTTTGTTTATGTTTTTATTATTATTATTATGTTTACTTTTAATTTGTTTATATTTATGCTAAAGGGGAGTTAAAGCGCATTATGGACTTGGTTATTGATATAGTTGGTTAATGTTAGTTAGATTATGATTATTATAATTGTAACCTTGTATTCAGCTCTGGGAAATGGGGGAGGGAGAGGGGGGTTTAAGGTGGGTTGGTTTTGGGGTTTATATTGTAACTTTTATAAAACTCTTCAATTAAAAAAAAAGCCAACACAGTACTGGGCTGCATTAACAGAGGGATAGAATCAAGATCACGTGAAGTATTAATACCACTTTACAATGCCTTGGTAAGGCCACACTTTTAATACTGCATCCAGTTTTGGTCACCATGATGTAAAAAAGATGTTGAGACTCTAGAAAGAGTACAGAGAAGAGCAACAAAGATGATTAGGGGACTGGAGGCTAAAACATATAAGGAAAGGCTGCTGGAATTGGGTATATCTAGTCTAGTGGTGGCGAACCTAGGGCACAGGTGCCAGAGACGGCACTCAAAACCCTCTCTGTGCGCATGTGCACCATTGCCCCAGCTCTATGGATCTGTTTATGATCATTCATGATGAAAAAAAAAGTTCTGTGCAGGTTTTTTCAAGTACTTTACACACACACACACACACACACACACACACACACACAGACAGACCTGAATGCAAGCTCATGAAACACAGTATCGTATATGCCGACGTACAAGGCGACCTGGTGTATAAGATGACCCCCATCTTTATCGCCGAGCCGCATTTCTAGAACATCGTCTTATACGCCGGAAACTACCGGTATTTCCGGCGTATAAGATGACTCGGCGTATAAGACAACCCCCGTCTTTGGAGCCGATTTTAGTGCTTGCGGAAGTTGCCTTATACGCCGGCATATACGGTAAGTAGATAAGGACAAGTCTTCAGTTTTGCCTATCTGAAAATATAAGAATAAATTATAGTTCTGCTGATTAAAGAGAACAGATTACAGAAAGAAGATACCAGTAGTTATGCCATAACCCTAGAGTAAATGTCTAACTGAACTTAGAACAGTTATGATGATCAGAAGCTTCTTTATTATATTCTTTTTCTTTCTTTTCTGTTTTTCTTTCTTGCATTTTTAGCTCTGATTTCTTTCTTTTTCTTTTTTTTTCACTTGATATTAGTTTGAGTGCGTTTTTAACCTTTAAAAAAAACTTTCATATGATATTATACATAAAAGATGAAAATGTAAGAATAAATTGAGATTGTGTTTGTAGCTAGAAGGATTGTGTGGGAGGATCACAAGTTTAATATTAATTAAAATTGCTCCTTGGCTTTTTCACTGACAATTTTTTAAAATGTAAACATCCCATTGAAGTGAAACCATTTCAAATGAACTCTTTTTTAGATAAAATGAAAGAATGTCTCTTCTGTTGTATAAGATCCTCTTTTTTTAATGGTTCAAGCTTTATAGTTCTTCAGACAAATACATTCAGCACAATTAAACTGGAAGTAAGAGCTTTAGATTTTAATTAGCCCATAGGCCATATAAAAATATAGAATAAAACATAAAACGTTGTACAATAAAACCATACCTAAAAGTAGAATACAAGAAACAGATTAAGTGAAAACAAAAATAAAATAAGGAATATGACATCATGTTTCCCTGTCACCTCTACAATTAATCATGATCAGACCCACATATGTTGATCTCAATTGAACTCTTTTATTCAAACAAAAGGCTGTTTTATAAATGATTTTTGAACTCTGACTGCACATTAAATATTTTGTTTTAATATAAGGGTCCCAATTTTTTGTTTATCTAATGTGCAGTTCAAGATACTGAGCTCCCTTTTTCTTATATGAATAACAATCAAATAATGGGTTATATCTTCTGTCACTGGAATTCCACAAATGCAAGTCACGAATGAAGGCAAATATACGTGTCCCAGAATATTGTTGCAGGATCCAATCTCCAGCATGAGTCCAAAAACTCGGAAGACTAAACTTCTGGTTCCGGTGACTGGCCCAGATTGGATCCTGCCAATACACAGAGTTTGATGGACTAACTATAAAACTCAAATTCTGGATTGATTGTGAAGGTGTTTGAGAAGACTCTATCACTATGTGTTGCGTATCTGCATCATTTCATAGTTTGCCAAGATAGAGGGAGGAATCAAAAAAGGATAACCTGCCTTTTGGTCTTCCAGAAAGTTATAAATAAAATTTGGCTTTGGCGGTAAGCCTGGGGTCACCACTGGAAGTGACTGATGGGGTAAGGAGACCTCATCTCCATCCTGACCGCCTCTTAGTTCTGATTTCAGAATAATTTTAAAATCTTAATTTGTGTAATGTTTCCATATTTGAATTATTTTTCTACTTTTTTTTAAACTTGTAAGCATCCCAAAGTCATAAGGCAGATAGGTGGCATAAACATTACATAAATATGCCACCTATCTGGCATATTTTTGTAATGTTTATGCCGCCTATCTTCCTTATGACTTTGGGATGCTTACGAGTTAAAAAAAAAATTACATAGACTTCCGGTTTGCCATTGTGGCTGCCGCGGA